GCTTAGAGTGCACCTCTCTAGGCCATGAGCCACCACCTTTCCTAGGAGAATGCCGTGGGTGATGGTGTCAAAGTCTTTACTAAAGTCCAGGTAGATGACATCCACAGCCTTCCCCTCATCAACTACGGGGATCACCTGATCATAGAAGAAGATCAGGTCGGTTAAGCTGGACCTGCCCTTCATGAAGCCATGCTGGCTGGGCCCAATCCCCTGCTTGTCCTACACCTGCCATGTGAGTACCCTCAGGATGAACCACTCCATAACCTTCCCTGGCACCGAGGTCAGGCTGACAGGCCTGTAGTTCCCTGGATCATTGTTCCAGCCCTTATTGTAGATGGATGTCACACTGGCAAGTCTCCTGTCATCTGGGACCTCCCTTGTTGACCAGGACTTCAGATAAACGGTGGAGAGTGTTTTGGCCAGCTCCTCTGCCAGCTCCCTCAGTACGCTCCGGTGGATTCCATCCAGCCCCACAGACTTGTGAATGTCCAGGTGGCAAAGCAGGTCTTTAACTGCTTCCTCCTGAATTATGGGGGTTTATTCTGTTCTTGGTCCCCATCTTCCAGCTCGGGAGGCTGATTACCTTGCGGATTGCTTGTCTGACTATTAAAGACTGAGGCAAAGAAGGCATTAAGTACCTCAGCCTTTTCCTCATCTTTGGTGACAATGTTCCACCCTGCATCCAGTAGAGGATAGAGATTCTCCTTGGCTCTCTTGCTGTTGTTAATGTATTTGTAGAAACATTTTTTGTTGTCTTTCGTGGCAGTGGCCACCTTGAGTCCTACTTGGGCTTTTGCCTCTCTAATTTTCCCTCTGCAGGACCTAACAAGCTCCCTATACTCTTCCTGAGTTACCTGCCCCTTCTTCCAGGAGTGGTAAACCCTCCTTGCACTTTTAGAATGACTACACTGCCACAACCTTTTGATGTTCCATCACCATGTATGGTGTCATACAACAGACCCACTGCCTAATTCCTCTTGTTTATCAAGAACGTATTTATAGAATTGATACCTTATGTAATCCTCAGCAGCACTCGAAGCTTGCTGATGTCGGCTGAGGCCGACTAATGTACGCCAGCTGGGTGCCCCTACCTTATCTGAAAGGCTCACAAACTGTCTGTGGTTCTACCTCCTCTTCC